GTGTGAGAGAGAAACTTTGTGTGTTTGTGTGTAAAACTGTGTTTGTATGTGTGTGTGTGTAAAACTGTGTGTGTGTGTGTAAAATGTGTGTGTGTGTAAAATGTGTGTGTGTGTGTGTGTGTGTGTGTGTGTGTGTGTGTGTGCACAAAATATTCTTCTCTCTCATTCTCCTGATTTCAGCAAAGAGGCCATTTCAGGACAAGAAGAATTTGGTTTAAGAGGAGGGAGAGCAAGAGGAAGTGAGTTGAAAGTTACTCTTAGACTCTTAGACATTTTATAAACCTGTGAGTAGAACATTTCTTTTTGACTGCATTAATGCTGCTTTGTCGTGATGTTGCAAGTGACTTTTATTCATCAAATCTAACAGGTTTTGGTTAGCTATTTCATTGATCTTAAATCCACATTCCAATCGTCTGATGGCAAATAGCCATGAAATGAAAAGCTTTGCGAGTTTTTTTTTTGTTTTTGCAAAATGCATTTTTCAGCCCTTTTTCTTGGCACTGCGCCAACTCCTCTCCAGTTTCCTGCCAGCGTTGGAATTGGCCAGTTTCTGTTTCCACTCAGCTGTCCCATCAGCTGGGAGCTGTGGAGAGTGGTCCTTGCTGAACATGTTCAGAAGCCATTCTCTGTTGCTGGAGGCTCAGAACAAACCTCTTGCACTTGTGGAAAGGCACAAACAATGCTGCAAATAAATAAGGAGTGTTCCTTCTGCAGACTAACTTTCTTTTAAAAATTGTTGACAGGTGTCACCAGGCCAGCATTTATTGCCCATACCCAATTGGGCTGCCTTCTTGAATCACTACAGTCCATGTGCTGTAGGTAGACCCAGAATGCCCTTATGGAGGGAATTCCAGGATTTTATCCAATCAACACTGAAAGGACAGTGGTATATTTCCAAGTCAGGATGGAGAATGACTTGGAGCGGAGCTTGCAGGTGGTGTTGTTCCCATGTATCTGCTGCCCTTGTCCTTCTAGATGTAAGTGGTCGTTGGCTTAGAAACTGCTTTCCGAGGAGCCTTGGTGAGTTGCTGCAGTGCATCTTGTAGATAGTACACACTGCTGCTACTGAGCATCAAAGTTGGATAGTGAGTGCAACAACAGGAACACTGAAGAAGCTCGAGAAGTTGGAGAGGGTATGGAAAAGGAAAATGGAGAGGGTACCAGGATGTTGCCTGGTATGGGGGATTTTCGCTATGAAGAAATGTTGGATGGACTCAGTTGGTTTTCACTGGAATGTAGAGGTTGAGGAGCAACCTAATAGATGTTTATAAGATTGTGAATAGCATGGATAGGTTGGAAAGTATGATGCTTTTGGAGAGTTCAATTACAAGAGGACACAGGTTCAAGGTGCTGGGGATGGGGGAGTTTTAAAAGAGATGTGCGAGGAAAGATTTTCACACAGAGGGTGGTGAGTGCCTGGCACACACTGCCAGAGGAGGTGGTGGAAGCAGACACAATAGCAGCATTTAAGAAGCACCTGGATGAATACATGAATAGGAAGGGATAGGGATCCTGTAAGTGAACAGTTTTAGTATGGAAGGGCAAAACATGTCAACACAGGGTTGGAGGGCCGAAGGGCCTGTTCCTGTGCTGTATTGTTCTTTGTTCTTTTATAGGCTAATATGCATCATCACCATCTTGTATGCAAAGTATCTTTTGCCTCAAAAGATATTGCACAACAACCTGTTGTTGATTATATAGTCCCCATAGAGACTGGTTACTAGTTACAAAGAAATCCAAATTTCCATGTGATAGCTGAAAGCAAGAGTTTACATTTTAAGACTTTTATTGTAACAAACAGATTAAAACATTTTTGATGATACAATATTATTGTGGGCAACTTATACTTTAGACTACAGAACAGAGCTTTGCCTTTTACATTTAACGCAGGAATAATTCTTATATTGCTTAAGTAGTAACTCAGTCTTTCCAGAGTCAATCCAAAGTGATTCTTAGCCCCTAGAGGATTCACTTCTGTCCCTTTTGTCTCCCACATGGGTTAAAATTTACCTAAGAACAGTTCATGTTGAGAATTTCCTGTAGCACAATATGGTGGAAAATGGAGAGGGTACAGGATGTTGCCTGATATGGGCGATTTTCGCTATGAAGAAATGTTGGATGGACTCATATAGCACAAGTTAGGCAAATCCTCCCGTCTCATTTCAAAATTGAAATGCCAGGTCCCACCCACACCCCGGCACAATGAATGATGTACATAGTGCTCCCTTTTTTCCAAGTTCTAGCAGACTATATGTCTCTGAGTTTCAGGATATCCTAGAAATATTTTTCCTCTTAAGACTACGTCCAGGGCAAAATGCATCACATGGATCTTATATGCAGGTAGAAATGCTGAATAGCTATTGTAGCGAATTGTATAGAGTAGGAGTTCCCCGATTGATTGGGGCTAATAATCTGATCCAATCAGGGAACCCAGGCTGACAGATGTATACAGGAGTGTCTGGGATACTGTTCACTCTGAGACCTGGCTCCATGGGAGCTGGATCAGCAACAAGGACTTTCCACATATAAATAAAGGGTGATTTGGTGATAGGATACTGGCCTCTGTGGCTTTATTTCAGCTATCTTTAAGACTCAACTCTCATCATCTTGGAAGTAAATAGACTATTTAGAGCATAACTGATTGCAACATTCACCACATCTTCCTGGGGCTTTAGAGACTACCAGTCTAACCATTGTAAATATAGATTCTGCTACCATTATCTCCAAGTGTGATCTACTTCCATCCATTCATGACTGAGTTTTGTGGGGTCAAACAAGTCAATGTCATTCCACTGAAGCTCTTCTCCATCCTCCCCACTGCAATGCTTCAGCTCGGCTGGTTACACACATTGCAACATCAGTCAATGACTTTCTCCAACAAAAGAGAATGTAACAAGATAACAAATCAGATTTCTGAAGAAGGGTCCAGACCCAAAACGTCAGCCTTCCTGCTCCTCTGATGCTGCCTGGCCTGATGTGTTCATCCAGCTCTACACCTTGTTATCTCAGACTCCAGCATCGGCAGATCCTACTATCTCTCAGAGAATGTAACAATCACCTTTGACATTTAATGACATTACCATCACTGAATTTCCCTCTGTCAACATCCTGGTGGTTACCATGGACCAGAAACTGAACTGGACTAGCCATGTAAACATGTAGCTACAAGAGCAGGTCAGAGGCTAGGAATCCTGCAGTTAGGAGCTCACCTCCTGACTTCCCAGAATCAGTGTACAAGGTGGATGGTGTCACAATAATGTCACTGGTTTGGTGATTCAGAAACCCAGGCTAACTTTCTGGGGAATAAAAACAGTTCTGAAGAAGAGTTAAACTGGACTCAAAGTATTAACTCTGTTTCTCTCTCCACAGATGCTGCTAGATCTACTGAGCCTCTCCAGTGTACTGTGTTACTTTAAGACACTGGATATATGGCTTTGAATCCCACCATGGCATATGGTGAAATTTGAATTTAATATAAATCTGGAATAACAGTTGGCCAAAAGATGACTGTAAACCTATTGTCCATTAAAAAAAACACATCTGGTTCTTTAATTTACTTCTTTAGGGAAAGAAATCTGCCATCCTTACCCAACAGCAATGTGGTTGATTCTCAACTGCCGTGTGACCAATTGTGATGGACAATACATGATTGCCCATACCCCATGACTGATTTAATTTAAAAAAGGAGTGTGATAGAATACTCCCGCTTTGCCTGATGAGCACAGCTCCAACAATACTCAAGAAACTTTTTTTTTAATTCATTCATGGGGTAAGGGTGTCGCTGGCCAGGCAGCATTTATTGCCCAGAGGGCACTTAAGAGTTAACCACATTGCTGTGGGTCTGGAGTCACATGTAGGCCAGACCAGGTAAGGATGGCAGGTTCCTTCCCTAAAAGACATTAGTGAACCAGATGGGTTTTTCCAACAATTGACAATGGATTCATGGTCATCATTAGATTTTTAATTCCAGATATTAATCGAATTCAAATTCTACCATCTGCCATGGCAGGATTCAAACCTGTGTCCCCAGAACATCATCTGGGTCTCTGGATTAACAGTCCAGCAATAATACCATTAGGCCATCACCTCCCCCTAGTTGACATCATCCACGAAAAGCAGCCCACTTGATTGGCACCACAATCACAAAAATCCACTCCCTCCACCACCGACGCTCAGTAGCAGCAGTGTGTACTATCTAAAAGATGCACTGCAGAAATTCACCAAAGATCCTCAGACAGCATCTTCCAAACCCACGACCACTTCCATCTAGAAGGATAAGTGCAAGTTCAATTCTGGTCTCCCCACTATAGGAAGGATGTTGTGAAACCTGAAAAGGTTCAGAAATGATTTACAAGGATGTTACTGGGGTTGGAGGATTTGAGCTAAAGGGAGAGTTTGAATAGGCTGGGGCTATTTTCCCTGGAGCATCAGAAGCTGAGGGATGACCTTATAGAAGTTTATAAAATCATGAGGGGCATGGATAGGGTGAATAGTCAAAGTCTTTTCCCCAGGGTAGTGTAGTCCAAAACTACAGGGTATAGGTTTAAGGTGAGAGGGGAAAGGTTTAAAGGGGACCTAAGGGGCAACTTCCTCATACAGAGGGTGGTGCGTGTATGGAATGAGCTGTCAGAGGAAATGGTGGAGGCTGGTACAAATACAACATTTAAAAAACATCTGGATGGGGATATGAATAGGAAGGGTTTAGAGGGATATGGGCCAAATGCTGGCAAATGGGACTAGATTCATTTAGGATATCCAGTCAGCGTGGATGAGTTGGACCCAATGGTCTGTTTCTGTGCTGTACATCTCTATGACTCTGTGACTGTATGGCAGCACATACTTGGGAACACCATCCCCTGCAAGTTCCTCTCCAAGCCTCTCACCGTCCTGACTTGGAAATGTATCGCAGTTCCTTCAGAGTTGTTGAGTCAAAATCCTGGAATTTCCTCCCTTAGGGCATTGTGGGCCAATCCCAAGTTTCACTAATTGTTCATCGTGTTTCTTGCAGCGTGAATGTATCTCCATCCATGTTGGCCAGGCTGGTGTCCAGATGGGCAATGCCTGCTGGGAGCTGTACTGTTTGGAGCATGGGATCCAGCCCGATGGTCACCGACCTGATGCGAAAAATGCAAGTGAGGTTGATGACTCCTTTGACACCTTCTTCTGTGAGACACTAACCGGGAAACACGTGCCCAGGGCAATCTTTCTGGACCTGGAGCCAACTGTGATCGGTAATGGGGAGCATTGGCCTTTCCAACACTTGACTGGAGTTTTCACATGAGTACTTTTCTGCAACCTGCTGCCTACTAGGGAATTGGGAGCAGATTGAGTGAGGAACTTTCAGTGGTGAACTGGATAAAGAAAGGGATAAAGGTTTGCAGGGTTATGAGGAAAACTGAGGGAAGAATTGGGATTTTCTTTCAAACAGCCAGCAGAGGAATAATACTGCTATCATTCTAACACTTGCTGCAAGATTCCCGAATCTTGACTGGAAGCATTCCTTCTCCGAAATTCTGCTCATCTTTGAATCTCCAAGTGTTGGAAGAGCACTTCTCAGGAGCAGTAATTGGAATGGTGATGTCCTTCTACAAAGCAGAAAGGAAGATTGGCATAAGCAGCCATCAAAGGCTTGATCCACGCCCACAATTAATACCAATCAGTGTTTATTACTCACTTTGCGCTGAGGTTAAACATCAAATGTTGAAACTGGCTCAGGACAAGAGGAATGTGGTTGGAGATGGAAATTATTTTGATCCATTTTAAATTCTTCCTCCAATCAGATGCAACTATATTGAATTGGCATGAGGTGAAATGCAGCAAAGTTGCTGTAATTCATTGTGGAATGATATAGCGCAGGAGAGGCTGAATTGCCTGTGCAGACTCTTTGAAAGATTTGTCCAATTAGTCCCATTCCCTGCACATTGCCCATTAGGAAGGATATCATTAAGTTGGAGCGGGTTCAGCAGAGATTTACCAGGATGTTGCTGGGTGTGGAAGGTGTGAGTTATAAAGAAAGGCTGGATAGGCTGAAGCTATTTTCACTAGAGCATAGGTGATTGAGAGGCGACCTGATAGAAGTTTATAAAATAATGAGGGGTATAGATAGGGTTAATAGTAGTTGTCTTTTCCCTAAGATGGTAAATTTCAAGACTGGGGGAGGGGCAAATTTTTAAGGTGAGAGGAGAGAGATTTAAAAAAGACATGAGGGACAAATTTTTTACACAGAGGGTGGTTCGCATGTGGAATAAAGTAGTGGATGTGAGTACAATTAGAACATTTAAAAGACACTTGAATAATTACATGAATAGGAAAGGTTTGGAGGGATACGGGCCAGGAGCAGGCTGGTGGGTCTAGTTTTGTTTAAGATTATGTTCGGCATGGACGGTTGGACTGAAGGGTCAGTTTCTGTGCTGTATTACCCTATGACTGTACATCCTGATGATAAATTATCTTTTTGAAATTAAAAATTGAATTGAGTTTGCTTCTTTCAAGCAGCAGTTATTCCTCCAATCTCACCATTATTTTTGTTGAATACACTGTCAGGTTACTGGCTAACTTCCCAGTGGAAATAGTTTCACCTTCCTTACTCCGTTAAAACCCTTCAATGATTTTGAATGTCTCTGTTAAATCTCTACTTAACCCTCTGTGCCCTGAGGGGAACAGTCTCAGCTTCTTCACTCTCGCCGCCTGAGAGCACAGATGTGGTGGCCATTGTAACTTATTGCACTGTTTCGATTCTAGATGAGGTGCGCACTGGTCCCTATCGTCAACTGTTCCACCCTGAGCAGCTCATCACCGGGAAGGAAGATGCTGCCAATAACTACGCCCGTGGACACTACACCATTGGCAAGGAGCTGATTGACCCTGTCTTGGCTAGAGTTCACAAGTTGGTATGGATGTTGATATTTAAAACTCAGCTTGTATAGTCATTTTAAGATTTCTGAGAAATGCTGTTTTGACCCAACGCTTAAAAAAAAGAGTAAAAAAAGAGCACAGAACTGTGGATGATGGAAATCAGAAGGAATCTGAACATTCTGAAGAGGGGTCACCGGACCCGCAACGTTAGCTCTGAATTCTCTCCACAGATGCTGCCAAACCTGCTGAATTTTTCCAGCAATTTCTGATTTTGTTTTAAAAAGTTTCTGACCCTTAAAAAAAAGCAGTCCTCTTCATTGAACTGAAAACCAAAAACCCATTTATCTCTTTTTTAATATCCAATATCTCATTAATAATATATACTATAGTATAGACCATCAACAATACAGGCATTCCTGTAGTGTAAGTCACTGCATTGACATCTAAACCTTAGGGGCCTGATAATGTAACATTTCTCCTGTTTGGGAAATTACACTTCTCTATCTTTCTCATTTCCTCACTCAGGCTGACCAATGCACAGGTCTTCAAGGTTTCCTGGTCTTCCATAGCTTCGGTGGAGGCACTGGCTCAGGATTCACCTCTCTGCTGATGGAACATCTCTCAGTCGACTATGGCAAGAAGTCCAAGCTGGAGTTTTCCATCTATCCAGCTCCCAGGATCTCCACAGCTGTGGTGGAACCTTACAACTCCATCCTGACCACTCACACCACACTGGAACACACTGATTGTTCCTTCATGGTGGACAATGAAGCCATCTATGACATCTGCCACAAACACTTGGACATCGAGCGTCCAGGCTATATCAACCTGAACCGTCTGATCGGGCAAATTGTGTCATCAATCACAGCTTCTCTCCGTTTTGACGGAGCTCTCAATGTTGACTTGACAGAATTCCAAACTAACTTGGTGCCTTATCCACGTATCCATTTCCCTCTGGCTACCTATGCCCCAGTCATCTC